CTGAAGGTGGTGATCAAGGGAAATTCCTACATCGTAGATGCTGGTTTTGGTGGTGCCTACCAGGCATGGCAGCCATTGATGTTGATTTCTGGGAAGGATCAACCCCAGACCCCCGGCATCTTCCGCTTCATGGAAGACAATGGCACCTGGTACTTCGAGAAAGTCAAAAGGAAGCATTATATTCCTGAGCCAAGTGTCCCTTTCACTGATACTCCAGAACTAGGGAATATCAGAAAACTATATACATTCACGCTCGAGCCACGACATATAAATGACTTTCAGGAGCTAAACTCATACCTACAAGTGGCTCCAGATAACATACTTCAGAAGAAGTCAATCTGCAGTCTCCAGACCACTGAAGGGCTTTATGCCTTAGTTGGATGGACCTTCACTGAGATGAAGTATAACTATATGGAGGATATGGACCTGGTGCAGATCACAACTCTTACAGATGAAGAGGTTGAGAAGACACTGAAAGACAAATTCAATATAGTGCTGGAGAAAAAACTCGTGCCAGTAAACGTTCGTGGCTTGCCACCTAATTTAGTGGATACAATCTAATTCTAAGGCTATACTAGATGGATCTTTAAATATCCAATAGAAAAAGTTCTAAAATTAATAACATTAATCTGATTCTAAAGTTGAGCTAGTCAGATAAATACAAAGCTCGGTAAATTCAAGTACATTGCTAATTAACTGCATATACCAGTTGTGTATTTTTTCTTCAGCTGCTGCTTCTTTAGAAGCTGAGACATCATACTGCCTCTAATTTGCTCATATGGAATGCTTTTTGACTCCATAAGATTTTGTTCCACCTCTACAGATCTCATGTTATTCAGGTATATTTTGTGGTAAAGGAGACAAAAACGATACAGAAGGAGAAGCTGTGTTACCATTTTACACAAAAGACCTCTGACTTTTTTTTGGCATTATTTCCAATCTCCTTCTCAGCAGAGTTTTACAAATTATTCACTTCTTTTAACAGTCTGAAATAGAAAGTTGAGCTAAATTTGGCTTTCAAAGACTTCATAAAAAAAATAAAAGTTAAGACTTTCTCAAAACAAGCCACTATAGGTGCTGATTAGCTTATGATGAAGTAAGTTGAAAGACTTGACTCCTATTCCCTTACCAGAAATCGACTTAAAGTGAGCTATTGATGCAAGGGCACTTAAACCCAAAAGCTCTCTAATTTTGAGCGCCCAGTTTTTCTGGGTCTGATTTTTCTGTGTCCCTGAAATTGAAAAAAAAAAAAAATCAATAGAAGCTGAGACGATTCAACATTTCTTAAAATCGGGCTTTTGGTATCAAAAATGGAAACAATTAAAGTTAGATCAACCTTTGCAAACCATAATCTAAACTTTTGGGGCCTAACCTTCCTGTGATGTCAAGCGGGCACGGCAGTATTACAGATAAAACTCTTAATATTTATTACAAAACAGTATTCTGCAGAAAAGCTACCTTAAATAAGTAATACTGCAGATGTGAAAGAAAACACTGGGAAATTAGGACATGCCACTGGTGTGGTTTCACAGCATGATATATGTAACACAAAAGCTTTTTACCTTTATAACACCTGTGGCAGGTACTGTACAGGATGCGTCATGAAAGAGGGCGACAGAAGAGCATTGGTCCTCGGCCAAAGACAAGACTTTGATGCTCGTACTAGTCAACCACAGAGATGCATGGGGCACCTGATGTGCCTAAAACTCAGATGCAGTCTTACGTGCTCTTTGCCTTCCCAAACGGGACCTCCGACTTTCCACCTCCATCAAACGAAGAGGAGCCATGCTTCACAGGGAGACAATTAAACCAAGAGCCCTGCAACACCTTTGAAGATGCAGAAGGCCGAGTTTTAGAGAGGAAATGATTTTCCTTGGCAATTCACTTCACCCACAAGGAAGCAGGTGACTATCTGCCACTGGAAAGATAGTGGCCTGCAAAATAGCAATAATTTAATTTAAAAGTGCTACAGAGCCGTTTGCAACTGTCTACTGTAATTATTGTACATGGAAAACAAGTTCAGTCTGGTCTTAACCAGGGGAAAACATAAACATCTACTAATAGAGAAGAAACAAAGTTTAATTTGCTCATGGATCAGTGAAGTCCAAAAATGTGCATTCATTTTGGGTGGACTCTGCACTTCCTTGGCATTTAAGATTCAGGAGTGAGGGCCAGCAGAGCTTAGAGAGGAAGACAACCCTCACGATTTGTATCCACTCCTGGCTTTACTGACTGCTGTCCCAATAACAAACCCAGAAGCTGAATACATCAATAAATAAATAAGGCTATCTTAAGAGGTAAGTCTATTTTCTTAAAAAACCCTTCAAAGAAACCAAAAACCTGGTTTCTTTATCATGGTAAAGATCATGGACAATAACACAAGCAATATTCTCTTTAGGAAAAATGTTATAGAAACGTGTAGATATAGAGCT